CCTAGTCCATCCAGTCTTTATCTGTAGGGGTTCTTGTTGGTGGTGTTTTTATCAGTAAAGGTCCTTCTTCTGAATCTAAGCTCTCTTTACATAACTGAAATATAATGTCAGTATCGTTCTTGGGGTGCTGTACACAGTGGTGAAAGTAAGCCGGTGTTCTGTCAGGTGAGCTTACCTTGTCAGACCAGCATAGTCTATACCCATGTGCAAGACATCAGATTTGCGTTTATGCTTGAAGTTTTGTATTAAAAATTGACTTTAAACTACCTCCACGGGTATGGATCTCTTTAGTCATGTACAAAAAAACAAACATTTTAAGGTCAGGTCGCCATACGCTTACAAAAAACACCAAAAAATAAGTAATCAAATCGGTTTTTTGTACATCACTAACGGGATACACATCAGTTGAGGTAGTTTAAAGTGTATCTTTTGTACAAAACTAAAGGGATGAACAAAAGTGATAAACAGGGATGAACTGAAGGGATAGGTGTTGATAGGTTCCTGTAAAGAGAAAGGCATCTATGGAGATGCTTCAAGCATCTAAACGATGCTTTTAGTCGCCTCAATCCGAAGGTTTCTGGGGCTGCATCCCATTGGGTGGAGCTCCCAGACTCTCCACAGCGGCTAAGCATTTGATATGATTTATTTATAAAGGGAAGATATAATAAATAAATATGAAAGCATGGTAAACGTGTAACATGATAGCGTAAAAAATACAATCCTTTTCCTCAGGAGTAAAAACCAAGCAAAAAACAAAAATACATTACCATTAAAAAATTCAAATATAACCACATAATAAAAACTAAAAATAATTAAGATACTTTTTCTTCAAACTACTTTAAAAAAAACAGTTAATTATTTGAATGACGATCTAATGAATTGATTTTTACCAATTAACAAGTTCAAAATGGTAAAAGCAATTAGAGATAAAGCCAGAGTGGGCGGATGGATCAGGAACCAATCATTCCTACCCATTCCGAGCAGCGAGGTGCAGAGGGGTACATCCAGAGATGTCTTGATAGTTTGGATTGGCTCCTCTCTTCAGCAGCAGAACCAGACACTCCAATGACCCACAGCTGCACAAAACAAGAAAACAGAGTTTTTTATTTTAAGCTAAAACCATAAAAGGAGGCAACATTCTTGGCAAGGTAAGGAAAATGACTGAGTTAGAAACATCAAATCCATCAGAGTGCAGCTGTTCACGAACTCCAGAGACGATTATGTTCAACCTCAGACTGCATCACTCTTTACTCCATCCAGACAGTTTCTTTTCCACGACCAAAATCTAAACAAATTAGCAAAGAACGTTCTGCTCTCTCTGCTTTT